TCTCTCTCTCTCTCTCTCTCTCTCTCTCTCTCTCTCTCTCTCTCTCTGTTGTTTCCTTTCCTTTCCTATACCTGACTGTCCTGGAACTCACTATGTAGACCAGGCTGGCCTCAAATTCAGAAATCTGTTTGCTTCTGCCTCCTGAGTGCTGGAATTAAAAGTGTATGCCACCATGCCTAGCTATAGTTTTAAGACTTAGATTCAAGTTTTCATATGTTTAGAGTTTACTTTTGTTATTTAGATAGGGGTCTTTTTTTTTCTTTTGCATATAGCTACATCAATTTATGTAGCATTATTTATTAGAAAGACTACCCATTGTTTATTTGTTGCATTGTTTTGGTGAGACAGGGCTTCCCTTTGTAGCCTTGGCTAGCCTAGAACCCATTATGTAGACCAGAATGGGCTTGAATTCACAGAGGTCTGTCTGCATCTACTTCCTGAATGCTGGGATTAAAGGCATGTACTGCCACACGCAGTTTCATATATTTTTTGACAAAGGATTCTTCAATGTAGCCCAGGCTAGCCTCAAATTTGTGAACTTCCTGTCTCAACCTCCCAGTTGCTAACATTAACTGGTATGTACTACTTCAAGTTCCTAGGACTTGTTGAAAACCAGTTGGCAGAGCAGGCCTTATGGTAGATACATATCTTCATGAAATTAAAGTGAATTGAATTGAAATTTTCTGTATATACATTTGGGGAGAAGAAGCAGAGAAGACTCACATTGTATGGTATGATGCCAATATTAAGACTACCTATACAAAAGCAAATAACTAAGTTCTTGTTGAGTGTGATCACTCAACATCTGTAATCTCAGCCTTTAAGAGGCTCAGGTGGCTTACTGTGACATTGATGTTGGCCTGAGCTATAGAATGAGGTTTTGTCTTAAACCTAAAAACAAACAAACAAAAAAGCAAAACAAACAAATGAGGCTGAGGAGATGGCTTAATTGGTAAAGTGATTGTTCTGTAAGCACAAGGACCTAAATTTGGATCCCTAGAAACCACATAATAGCCAGGTGTAATAGCTTGCCTCTTTAACGTTAGTGCTGAGGGAAGGCAGGCAGAGCCAGTTTAGGCAATTGCCGAACTCTGGGGTCAATGATAGATCCTTTCTCAAAAAATAACATCGAGAGTGATAAAGATACCTGATGTTGACCTCTGGCCTCTGCATATATGTTCACACATGTGTACCTACACAAACATACACTGAAAATACACTACACACACTCAAGTACATTTAAAAAAAAAAAAAACTGCTGGGCTTGGTAGTTTTCACCTATGATCCTGGCTACTCAGGAGGTTGAGGCAAAAGGATCATAAGCTCAAGGCCTGCCAGGGCAGCTTAGTGAGACCATGTCTCAAAGTAGAACTCAGGTTACAGTGATAGAACATTTGCCTAGCATTTGTGAGCCCAAAGTTCAATTAGTCCTGGAGGGGAAACTCAGTTCCTTAGCATAATCCTCATCCTTCTGTACAAACATTTGACCTGACAGGAGTATGCTACAAGTGGTTGGAACCTGAATGTGATGCCTGTATTGGAGCAGTCTGTACTATGCCACATCAATGCAGATATATCTGGCATGAAGGTCCCATGGCTGTATGTGGGAATGGTGTTCTCGGCTTTTTGCTGGCATATTGAGGATCACTGGAGTTACTCTATTAACTACCTCCACTGGTGAGTGGGGTTATGGCAAGCTGGGGAGGCAGTCAGGGTGAGCTTCCTACATAACTATGCACGTGACCAATTCTGTATCCCCTTTAACTTGAACAGGGGTGAGCCAAAAACCTGGTATGGAGTCCCATCACTTGCAGCAGAACACTTGGAAGAAGTGATGAAGAAGCTGACACCTGAACTTTTTGATAGCCAGCCTGATCTCCTTCACCAACTTGTCACCCTCATGAATCCTAACACGCTCATGTCGCATGGTGTGCCGGTGAGTGCCCAGGAACTATAAGCAAGGCATAAGAATGATGTAATGATGACTTTGGTGCTGGTAATTCTAGTCTTCACTTGTGATTTATCCCTGCTTTTTTACTTCTGTCTTGATTGGGCTGTAGATATGGTTTTTTTGAGATCTGTGATCATGGTTGGCTAGATATGCAATGTGATAGTGAGTTCTTTGGCCATGGGTTTAAGGGATACCTTAGGCTACAACACAGATGGAACTGATGACCACTGCATTAAAGCTTTGTTTAAGTCTTTGTGTCATGTCATGTTGTGTGTCTCCAACCCCCCCCACCATATACACTACCCTTCCTTTGGGAGAGGCCATTTCTTTTTAAAAAGCATATCTCCTTTCCCAAAAAAGGAAAATTGATCATTCCCTATTCCAACTATCCTAAACATTTTTTATATTTCTGTGGGTGGTGGGTTTTTTTTTTTTTTTTTTTTGGTTTTTTCGAGACAGGGTTTCTCTGTGTAGCCCTGGCTGTCCTGGAACTCACTCTGTAGACCAGGCTGGCCTCGAACTCAGAAATCCGCCTGCCTCTGCCTCCCGAGTGCTGGGATTAAAGGCGTGCGCCACCACCGCCCGGCGTGGTGGGTTTTTTTTATGTCAAGTTTGATATATTGGTAAAACTGTGAATTTATAATTTCTTGTATATATGACCTAGAACTGCACTGTCTAGCTTAATACCCATTAGTCACATGTGGCCACCAAGCATTTCAGATGTGTCTAGTCCCACATCAGAATAGTACTGAGAATCAGTACTGAGAATATAAAATGGATATTGTAATTCAAGATTTAGTATTAATATAAAGTATAAAGTTATCTCATGAATACTTTTGTATACCACCTAAACACTGGCTTTGTTGAATAATATACATTAAAATTATTTTACATGTTTTTTTAATTATATTTTATTTTTTTAATGTGGCTACTAAAGAACTTTAAAATAGCCAGGCTTGATGTTGTGACTTATAACATGAACTGTTTGAGAAGCTGAGTCAAGAGGCTCCTAAGTTCAGTGCCTGTAGCTCAGTAGAACATTTGTCTAGCATTTATAAGGGCCTGTGTTCAGTATCCAGTACCAGGCAAGGAAAGAAATTTTTTCTCAGTACTTTGTGCCTGGTATATTTCTCATGACAGTGCTCGTCTAGTATGGTTTTATAACTACCATTGTAATTTTTTTTTATAATTATTTATTTATTTTATGTGAGTATACTATAGCTGTCTTCAGACACACCAGAAGAGGGCATGGGATCCCATTACAGATGGTTGTGAGCTACCATGTGGTTGTTGGGAATTGAACTCAGGACCTCTGGAAGAACAGTCAATGCTCTTAACCACTGACCCATCTCTCCAGCCCTACCATTGTATTTTTTAAAAACAGCTTTATTGCAGTATGACTTATATTCTGTAAAATTCATCCATTTTAATTGTATAATCTAGATGTCCTTAGAGAGGTTGTCACTGTAATTCAATTTTAAAGCATTTTTGCCACCCCAGAAAAAAACCCTTATTCACAATCACTCTCCATTCTAGCCTATAGGACTAGGCAACCATTTAATTTTTTTCTGGTTCTATATTTGTTTTCCTTACTTGTTGATGCAAGTAGAATACTGTTTAGTCTTTTTGGGGCTGGGATGGGGGGGCTTCTCTCAGTGGGTCTTAGAGACCTGAGTTTGATCTCCAGGGCCCATGTGGTAGAAGAACTGTATTTCTCATTTTTAATAGCTGTAGAATAGAATGACTACTTCTTGTTGTTTGTTTTGTTGTTGAGTTACTGTTTCAACTGTGTAGCCTAGGCTAGCCTTAAACTTGTTAGGTATCTCAGACTGGCCTGAAACTTGTGATTCTTCTTCTACCTTAGCCTTCCAAATGCTGGGGTTGTCGAAATGTACCACCATATCTGGATAGGAGTGCTTTTTTTTTTTTTTTTTTTTTTTTAAGTACCACAAAATAAGCAGAAAAGTAACACTGGCAAAATAAGCTTAAGAGGAAATTAGGAAAATTATTTTCCTGGTCTGCTAGCTGAGACTTCTCTGGAACTTTGTTTTTGCATCAATGAAGTTATAAAATAGATATTGCTAAAGTACTTTCTGTGTGTGTAAGGCCACTGGTCACCACCCTGAAGGTCAATAAAGCAATTCCTGCCTTGGGTGTATACCTACAAGTGGAAAAAAGAGAACAGTAAACAATTAAAATAAGTTGGGAGACACCATAGAACAGCAGACTGGGCCATTTAGGACTGGTGTTATCTGGACCAGGTTTGTAAAAAGTATATATTTAATTTCTTTCTTTAAACAAGAAGTTTCACACATTTTTAAAAGATGAATACTTGGTGGTATCCATTGTACAGTCCTATTTAAAAGAGTAAGAATTTGCCTGCTAGACTTTTATCTATGTAATCATGGAATTTATTCCAGAGGGGCTTGGATGAGGCATGCCTTGGTCAGAGTTGTTGTTATTTACAAAACATTTCTGATGATTGGTGGAAGCCATAACAATAATAAAAGCAAGAAATATTTTGAGGCTGACTCATTTAAGAAGAAAATGTGATGGTGATACATCATTAATGGGAAGATTTGTATTAGATATTGATATGCCTCGAATTATTCTGGAATTCTAGCAGATTTACTGAGCTGAAACAAACCAGGCTCTTGATATATATTAGCAGGTTAGTGAGATGGATATATAGGTCAGAGATCATGGCTTTAATTTCTAGCACCAAGTAAATAAGAATAAAAGGAAGAAAGAAAATGTACTTTTCAGGGAGAATTTGATTCTTAACCTGGCACTTATCCTTTCACTGTGCATTGGCTAGCATTGAATGTTCATCTTTAAATGTTTTGTGAAACCTCTTGGTTAAAGCAACAAATTAAACATGTAGATGGCTACTTCTACTTTGTATTGAAACTCAGTAAAATGACAAAAAGTGATTTTAAAAAAGATACGTCATAGAGATGGAAAAAACAGGACACAATGATAAAATTCTTTTTTAAAAATTGATGTTAAAAAATTATTTTTAGGCTTGTGCATGAGTGTTTTTCCTGCATGTATTTATGTGTACTATGTGTGTGCCTGATGCTGAGGAAGTCAGAAAGCATCAGATCCCCAGAACTGACTATAGTTATAGATGATTGGGAGCCACCATGTAGGTACCAAGAATCAAACCTGAATCCTCTATAAGAGGAACAAGTGTTAACCACTAAGGCATCTTTCCAGCCCCAACAATAAAAGTCTTGACCCTAAAAAGCAGACACTATAATTTTTTTAAGTCTTTTTTTTTTAAAGAAATTAGATTTATTTTACTTTTATTTGTGTGTATATGTGAATACGTGTGTATAAGCATGTAAGGCACTGGTGGGGGTGCGGAGGAGCTGCCCTTGGAGGCCAATGATGAATAATCCCCTGGTCCTGCGAGCTGCCAGATATGGGTACTGGAAACCCAACTCAACTCTTTTCTAGAGCAGCAAGTATTCTTAACCACTGAGCCATTTCTCCAGCCCCAATCAATTGAATCTTAAGCCACTACTGAGAACACATAAGAACCAATGTGATTTAATACTTTATGATCACTTAAGGGTTGTACTCAGCAGTACCTGGCATTCTGAGGGTAATGGTGGATAGTTTCATGTCTATAAAAGAAATTGAGATTCCCATCATTTTATCTCATATGTGACATTGCCTCACTCTTGAAGATTTATTTCTGAAAAAATTAGAACAGAGGATTGAGACCTCCATGATACAGCTAGTACAGTTAAAGGTGTTTTTACCCTAATCAGGATAAGAACAGTAGGATTCATCTTTGTGTATATACTAGATCCTGGCCAGTTTCCTCATTCAGCTGTTAGCTTGTTGATAGTTGGGTCATTTCCTGCAGACAGAAAGTATTAGTATTTTTTTAGAAGGGAAGGGAAATTTGGGAATCTGACTAGTGTAAGAAGAAAACAACTCTCTAGAATTTCCCAGATTAAATGGTTTACCCAGATCATCCTGCAGTGAAGCTTACAGTTGGTAAATGTCACCTATGTACTTTTTGGAATGGAGCTTTCATTCAGGTTGTTTGTTTGTTTGTTTGTTTGTTTTTGTCTCTTAAGAATAAGTAGGGAATCCCAGATTATCAGGTAATCAAAATAGAACAAACAAAAAACCTAAGGAAAAAGTAGAACCAGATAGTAAGAAAGCAGCTTAGAGAAATCGGCTTGGCAAGAAGGAATAAACTTTACAAGGAAAACAGACTTCGTTAACACGATCAATATTTACTGTTTTGCTTTCATAGATCCATGGTCATTTGCAGCCCAAAAATATTTAGTAAGAAATTCCGTAAATGAACGATTGCTTTAAAATGATACGCTATTTTGTGTAGGGTGGTGAGATCTCACGTTACTATACTCTGTCCTAAGGTCTTACCTGAGGCATTAATCATTCATCTGTTTGTCCATTGCACCATGCCTTAAGATGCTACCCATATTGTTAGTCACTGAGTCTGTCTTGGTTAGTAGATTGACTGCCAAGGTATTGTAGTGCTTGTTTTCAAACAACCCTTGACTTACATAATAATATCCTTAAGTGTAAGAGTAGTGATGTAGGGAGGTCAGATATGACAAAGAGAAGTATATTTTTTTTTCTTGAAGTTTCAACTTAAGGAAAGAAAAAAATACGCTGAGGTTTCTAGGATCTGTAAAAGAGAAAAAAAAATGGTGCCAATGTGCAAAAAACACATTGTTAAGATGAAACAGTCCCCATCAAATTCCCATTTATATGTATGTATAAGAAAAACAATGTTATATATGGGGTTAGGTTCTATCTGAGGCTCCCCCCAAAGAGTCTTGAATAAGACTGCCTATCTGAAAAGCGGCATGCTATGCCAAAAAGCATATAAAGACCCTACTGAGCTCTTGGGGCATTGAGATTTTGATAGCAAAAGGAATCCAGAAATAGAAAATAAGTACTTGAAATAATAGGTTGAAAAGATAAAAATGAGAAAAAGTAGGAAGAACGTTATGAATGTTACAAAATCTGTATAGTATCAGATAATAGAAATCGCAAAGAGGGGGCTGGAGAGATGGCTCAGCGGTTAAGAGCACTGGCTGTTCTTCCAGAGGTCCTGAGTTCAATTCCCAGCAACCACATGGTGGCTCACAACCATCTGTAATGCAAACTGATGCCCTCTTATGGTGTGTGTGAAAACAGCTACAGTGTACTCATATACATAAAATAAATAAATCCTTTAAAAAAAAGAAATCGCAAAGAGTATATATATATAAATGGTAGAATTATTAATAAAATTTTAAAAAATAAGAAAATATATAAATAAATGTATGGCTGTCTTGCCTGCATGTATGTCTGTGTACTATGTACATTACTGGTACCGGTGAAAGCCAGAAGAGGGCATTGCAGCTCCTGAAAGTAGGGCTGCAGAAATTGTTAGTGACCATATGAGTGTTGGCTATTGAATGTGGGTCCTCAGGAAAAGCATCCAGTTCCCTTAACTCCTGAGCCTCTTTAGCCCTAAACAATTTTTTCTTGAAGGATTGTTTTTGAATCAAAGTGGCCTACCTAGTATATGAATAAAAATAGATCCACACTAAGATAGATCTTGTGAACTTTTTTTTTTTTTTGTTAAACACTGAGAGCAGAAGAATCACATCTTGAAGAAGAAACAAAACAGGTTTAAATGAGAAACCTTTTAATAGCACTGAAACGTCTTAAAAGAGTTCAGAATACCTGTAATCTCAGTAGTTGTGAGAATCAAGTAGGATAATTGCCACAAGTTCAAGGCTACCCTGGCCGCCTACAGACTTGGCCAACCAGGGTTAGAGTCTTAAACAAAAAACCTTTGAAATGATTCTCATTTTGGAATTCTATAAGCAGTCAACTGTAGGACTTAGACTAAACACCTCCCTCCCAAATAAGCTTTCTGACCAGGTTCAGGCACAGCAAAGTAATTTAAAAAAAAAAAAAAAACCAAAGAGAAGAGCATAGGGTCTAAGAAATGAGATCTGTCACAAGATTGAAGGAAGATAAGTGGTATAGATAAGATAAGAAATTTGTATGAAGCTAGATGTGCTGATGCACCTATAATCCCAGGACTGGAGTGGCTGAAGCTGGGTTATGGGTTCAAGGCTAGCCTGGGCTACATATGTAGTAATACCCTATCTCCAAAAAACAAAGTAACCTTCCCTACCCCACCAAAAACAAAACAAAAGCCAAAGCTGACTTAAAGGTAAAAAACGTATAGGAAAGGATGTTTAGACTCTTATCAGAAAGTTAGGATTCAAGTTACTTTTTGTATGGAAAACTAAGCAAATTGAAAAAGTGGATGCTGCTTTTCTGTTGTTTTAAAAAAGATTTTTAGTTACATGTTTATGTGAGAGTTTCTTTATGTGGGTGCAGATGCCTGTGGAGGTCAGAAGAACTTAACTCTGGTTAAAGTTAATGTTCAAATAATCAGAAGAGATGAATAGGATTGGTCTTGGGAAGGAGACAATAATAGCACCTGATGGTTTTATAATCAATATTATAGAAGCATTTGAGTCTCAAAACTATATTAAAATGAGTATTAAATGGGAAATCATGGCCATCTTAATATAAAGTAATATTTTATAATTTTATTAAAATATTATAGGAAAGTTGAAGTAATTTAATGCATATATTTCCTGCCACTTGTGACTCAAATCACCTTTCAGAGCAGAGGTCTCGGACTTTGTTGTCATACTCTGTTTCCTGAAGCTTTCCTTTCTCTCCTTTAGGACCCAGGTTGGGTTACCTACAACTTGAAAGCTTCAATTTATCTCTTAGCCTTTTTTCCCCCCAACTTAGGTTGTTCGCACAAACCAGTGTGCAGGAGAATTTGTCATCACTTTTCCTCGTGCTTACCATAGTGGTTTCAACCAAGGCTACAACTTTGCTGAGGCAGTCAACTTTTGTACTGCTGACTGGGTGAGTCTGGAGTGTTGGTGGACTGGTAGGGAGAAGCAGAAAGATAGGGAAGCCAATATACTGCTTCCTTTAGGCTTGGTCAAGTTCAGCTTTGAACCTGTTCACAGCTGCCTGCTGGGCGCCAATGCATTGAGCACTACCGCCGACTACGAAGATACTGTGTCTTTTCTCATGAGGAGCTCATTTGCAAGATGGCTGCCTGCCCTGAGAAGCTGGACCTGAACCTGGCAGCAGCTGTACATAAGGAGATGTTCATTATGGTGCAAGAGGAGCGGCGTCTACGAAAGGCTCTGTTGGAAAAGGTAAGTGGTGGTGCTTTTGATCAGGGATCCTAGCCTGATAAAGGTTGGAGAAGAAAAGGGTAACTTCCAGGGATAGATGTAGCCTTTATTCTTGGTGTGTAGTGAAAAGAGCTAGGTACACCTGAATTGAAAAAGCACATTCTATGGTTTAGTAGCTGTTACCCTTATACAAAAAGGATAACCCTTATGTGTTACCCTTAGATGGCTCTGCCTCCCAAGTGCTGGGATCAAAGGCATGTGCTAGCATCCCCAGCTTAAGCTTGATATTTGTAATGGTAGTTGTAAAGCTTGAGTGATTGGATATTTGTAAAAGAATCTATTACTACCCTTGCAGTATACTAGCTGCTGGTGTCATTGGTAGTAATGTGTCAAGAAAATGATTAAAATATGGAATATTTCTTAGGAAATTCTATTTTATTTATTTTTTGAGACTTGGTATCTTTTGATCCTTCTTCACAGTCTCCTGAGTCCTGAAATTAATAGGCATGCTCCATCATACCTAGCTGGGTTTTTTTTTGTTTTTTCATTTTTTTTTAATATTTAAGGATTTTTGGTGTTATAATTTATGGCTGAGGATAATGGTGCAGACCTTTATCCCCAGCACTCCAAAGGCAGAAAGGCAGGTGGATCTCTATAAATTTGAGAACAGCCTGGTCTATATAATGAGTTCCAGGCCATCCAAGGCTATATATAAGACCCTGTCTCAAATGGGGGAGGAAAGCTTTTTTTTAATTTGCTTTTATGTGTATAAGTATTTTGCCTGCACATATGTACCCTGTGTGTGTGCAGTATGTGTTTAGGCCAAAAGAAAGGTGTGAGATCCCCAGGAACTGAAGTTACAGACAGTTGAGAACCGCCATGTGGGTGCTGGGAACTGATCTCAGGTCTTCTGTAACAGCAGCAAATGCCATCTTTCCAGCACCCTCAGCTATTTTCTTAATTTCCAGTTGTCCATTAACTTGGATAAAATAATGCTGTCAAGTAGAAAAAACCCTACATTAGTAGATTTTCCATAAGTATGTATCAGTTGTGTGTGGCCCAGTGGTTATTGTTCTACTTGCCTGGTTAGGGAAGTACTGTAATGAGGATCCTCCATGAGGTGATGTTAGAAATTTTGTATTATAGCTCAATGACAGAGTACCACCTACCATGTGGAAGATACTGGGTTTAATCCCCAGCGTTGCAAAAGAAAGAAAAAATTACAAGGAATGCTGATCTTAAGGGATCCTGAGTGACTTGTTTTCGGGGGTAATGTGTTTTTAGTTTAAAGTTCGTGTATAGGCTGGTTATGGTGGTACATGCCTATAATCTCATCATTTTGTAAGTATATAGAGGAGGGTTGTCCTAAGTTTTAGGCCAGCCCAGACTACATAGCAAAGCTTGAAACATATACACATAGACGCACATTCACAACTTTGCTGTGAGTGTTAGATCTAGGCCAAGTTTCATCTATAGTAATGTTGGAAGTCTGGGGCTTCTCATTTGTTATATTAGTTGATAAATTTCTTGGCTTTTCCATGTATCATATTCTCTATATTATTAAATGATGGCCCCATGCTATGACACAGTATGTAAAGGAACAAAATCAAGTTTGTAAGAAAAGAGACCTACCTTCCCATTTGGACAGAATTCTGTACATTTGACACTTAGAGATGAGTTCTGAACACTGTAATCATGAAATCTTTAGGAGATGATATGTGTTTTGAATATTTTTATGGAGATGACTCAGTATGTTCCCATGTGTGTGATCTGAAGAAATCTAGGGGTTTCATCTTTCTAGCATTCTCTAGCTTTGAATTCAAAATTGTCTATAGTCAGATCCTCACTTTGACGAGTTGCTGGTTTTCTTCTGTTATCCTTTAGTAAAAATGAGATTTGCTTGTCCTTAAGAGATGCATAGCCTTACCTAAAAACTAGAAGAATAATATTTGTTAAGTACTTCATAACCCATAGTGTTAATATACTAAATTCTTAATTAAAATACTTAAAACAATCTAACAAGGATGATAGTTACTGCTGACAAGAAAAACATAAAAATCCAGAAAGATTTAAATAATTTTCATATGATGAATGGGCAGCGACCACAACCCCATTAGCAATGGAGCGAGATTTGTAATTTGTGTTAACCTCATGCCTTACGTAGAAGTTTGGTTTTTGTTGTTTGTTTGAAGAAATTTTATTAATTTAAAAATAGAAAGATATGGTTGAATAATTCAGTAAGTTATGCTTCCTGAGTACAGGTAAGTCCTGAGGTTTAAAGTTCGTAAGACAAATGTTTTGGACCCAACATTTTTTCTTAAAATTCCTGAATTTGCTCATAATTGTTGTCTTCAGTGATGCCAACGTATTTGCATATTTGGCTTTTCGTTTTTAGGCATGGATTGCTTTTTTTTTTTTAATTAAAAAACAAAAAACAAAACCAGAAGTTGTTCTTCTGTAAGCCCTATTGGTACACAGTGTTTCCATTTGCTAAGCATGAGTAGTGTCGGGAACATGTGACAGTTGAGGAACTGAAGCCAGCATTCTCTCCTAAGACAGACCCTACATTTCCACCTCTCTACTGCCTAGGTTTACAGTCTTTATCTCTCTCATTAAAAGACCATTTGTTCCCATTTTAATCTCTTCTTGCTTATTTTTGTTTAAGCATTTTAATTGTTTTTTCATTATTGGGTGGGCAGTGCATGTGCAATAGCGACTCTATGGAGGTATGAGGACAACTTTGGGAAGTCCAAGTTTTCCTTCCTTAACATGGCTTCTGGGAATTGAACTCAGGCTGCCAGGCTTATGCAACAAGAGCCTTCATCTGCTGACTCATCTCACTTGTCCTTGGTTTTAGTCTTGTGAAATATCTAGTTATATTGCCCAGGCAGGTATTGAGTTCACAATAATCTTTCTGCCCCAGCCTTCTGAATGGTGGAATTACAAGCATTTGCCACAATGCCCAGCTCCTAATCTGAAACTCACCCAGGTTTTTCTGTGTTCTTCTATTTCTTTTTTTGTCCTGAAGTCCACACTGATCTTGTGAGTTCTGATCCATCTGAACCCCTGCTTTGAGATTGTAGACTTGACAGAAGGCAGATGTGATATGAATCTTGGCTTTTCAGTTTTCACAGCCATCATGAGATATTTGAGTTACTCTGATAGTGAGATGAGACTCCTGCCACCCTGTCTGGTTCTGAATAATGTGTGCGTTGTATGCTCCAGGGTATCACCGAGGCTGAACGAGAGGCTTTTGAGCTGCTTCCAGATGATGAACGTCAGTGCATAAAGTGCAAGACCACATGTTTCCTATCTGCCCTGGCCTGCTATGATTGCCCAGATGGCCTTGTCTGCCTTTCTCACATCAATGACCTCTGCAAGTGCTCCAGTAGCCGCCAGTACCTTCGGTAAGTCTAGGGCCTAATGGAAGGAAGTAGGAGAGTGGCAAGTTGGGCTAAACTGTACTCTGCCCTGCCCTTTTTCAGGTATCGGTACACCTTGGATGAGCTCCCTGCCATGCTGCATAAACTGAAAGTTCGAGCTGAGTCCTTTGACACCTGGGCTAACAAAGTACGAGTGGCCCTGGAGGTGGAAGATGGGCGGAAGCGCAGTGAGTGATTGGGGTGAGGGTGGGGCAGTTGGAGGGACTCTACAGACAAGTTCTATTCTTGTTTCTTCTGTATCCCTGGCCCTTTTCCTCTGCCTTGACTTAACAGTGCCTAATCCTTCCTACTCTCTTTCTCCAGGCCTGGAAGAACTGAGAGCACTAGAATCTGAGGCTCGTGAGCGAAGGTTTCCTAATAGTGAGCTTCTACAGCGACTGAAGAACTGCCTGAGTGAGGCAGAGGCTTGTGTATCCCGGGCTCTGGGATTGGTCAGTGGCCAGGAAGCTGGGTATGTTGGTGTGAGGTGTTGCAGCACAGCTAGCTTGCTGCTGCTGAAAAGAATGTTACAAGGAGTGGATTGTGAATACAGCTTGGAACATTAGCAGGACATTGCCAAGTGTAAGGTGATAGCCTGGGAAGTACTGCAGAGTACAAGGAGGACAGGCAACTTTTCATGGAGAAGGAGAGCCTTGGCAATAAGAAAAGTTAGACGTGTTTATTTTATAATCAGCATCTATAGAAGATTTGAGAGGTAGGTTGACGGAGTTTGTGGGCAGGGAGGAGTGTGGGAGGTTTAGGGCCTAGAATAGGACACAAACAAGAAAATCAGCATAGTTGTAGTAGACAGTGGGTTGTCAAGTCTAGGGGCTTGTCGTGTATAACTTCCTGTTTATCTAGTATATAAGGCTTGGGGTTCTATCTCCAGCTCCATGTAGGCTAGTGGAGTTGTAAGAAGTCTGGCTTCTGTTAGCATCAGTAGCTTATTAGCTCCTTCACCCTCCTACTGCTCTCTCTTCTCCTGTCCCTTTACCCTATGAATATACTTAGATTTAAAAACCCTCCCTGTAGCCTAGGCAATTGTGGGAACATTGAGACACAAGATTGAAGTTAAACAGATATGGTGAGGAATGGTTTTGGCACACATGAAAGGAGGGAGGTGGGTTTGGATCTGAAATCTCATACATGAAACTCCATAGCCCCGACAGGGTGGCTGGTCTACAGATGACCCTGGCTGAGCTACAGGATTTTCTGGGCCAGATGAACAACCTGCCCTGTGCCATGCACCAGATTGGGGATGTCAAGGTGAGGAGAGGTGGGTTTAGGTAAGACAGGGTGCATGTGTGAGAAAATAGTGCGAAGTATGAGCAAGGTTTTAGGTTTGGGATTTGGGACAAGGAGCAGAGATATGAGTACAAGCTGTTGAGACAAGGGAACGTTTGCCTGAGGAAGTAAAAGAGGTAACGAGGGTGTTTGTTGGGCATGAAACGATAAATAAAGTACATAAAAATAGAAGTGGGATAGAGAAGGCAGGGGACCCCAGAGTGAGCATGAGGGTTTTTGTAGCATAATATTTCTTAGGGTGGAAGATCTCTTAGTGCTTTGAGCACAATCCCATGTAGAGAAGTGAAGTACAAATTTATGGTCAATCATGAATAAAACTCTTAGGAATGTGCATTTTAATACATTCCATAGGGCATCATAATGAGTAGTCAAGTGTTATAGGAGCTACTGTTTTAGAGTTCAGAGGTTATGTTGAGAGGTGCTGGAACAGGATATGTGGTGGGTCCTCTTAAGTGGCCTCATCTGAAGGGTTTGTTCTTTATTCATCTGTATTCTGCTAGGGTATTCTGGAGCAGGTGGAAGCCTACCAGACTGAGGCCCGTGAGGCCCTGATCTCACAGCCCTCCAGTCCAGGGCTGCTGCAGTCACTGTTGGAGAGAGGGCAGCAGCTGGGTGTGGAGGTACCTGAAGCCCAGCAGCTCCAAAGGCAGGTGGAACAGGCACGGTGGCTGGATGAGGTAAAACGCACACTGGCTCCCTCTGCCCGAAGGGGTACCCTGGCCATCATGCGGGGACTGTTGGTTGCGGGTGCCAGTGTAGCCCCTAGCCCTGCTGTGGATAAGGCCCAGGCAGAGCTTCAGGAGCTGCTGACCATCGCTGAACGCTGGGAAGAGAAAGCCCACCTCTGCCTAGAGGCCAGGTAAGTCCAGGCCTTCCACTCCCTGCCATTCTTTACTTTCAAATATTAGTGGAGAATCTGAAGAAAATGTCTGTAGGTGGCCTTGGGTATCATTCCTCTGTATAGGTATATTGAATTTCTCTGGTCTTTTGTTCTTGGTCTTGTTTTTTTTTTCTACTTTTTCTTTTTAAGTATGTATACAGAGGCAGAGGTAGGCTGATGTGTGTGTGTGTGCGCGTGTGTGCGCGTGTGTGCGCGCGTGCGCGCGCGTACGTCCCAGTACCAATAGGTCAGCATGTAAACGTGTTCAGAAGCACAGGAAACAAGCAAATGAGTGGATATTTGTAAAAAGATGCCACAGGATAGACAAGTGATCAGTATGTAAACTTCTAGCAAGTTGACAGAGTGACAAACATAGGTGGTGTAAGAGCTATGGCAGAGGATATATGGGTGCATACAATCTGAAGTAGACAGCACCTGGCAACTGTCTTTACCAACATAAAAGCACAGAAGTGGCAGAAAGAATAACAAGAGCACAACTGTGTACAGCTGCTGATCAGGCTGGGCTCTGATCCATGACCAAACTGGCCTGCTCCCCCACCCCTTCTTTTGTTTTTAGGCAGAAGCATCCACCAGCCACACTTGAGGCCATAATCCATGAAGCAGAAAACATCCCTGTTCACCTGCCCAATATCCAGTCTCTGAAGGAAGCTCTTGCTAAGGCCCGGGCATGGATTGCTGATGTGGATGAGATCCAAGTAAGGACCAGCCCCAGCCACACCTAGACTTTCCATGTTGCTAGAAGAGATGATATACAGGCTTCTGCTGTGTTGCATGGCTAGAGAGAGGGATGAAATATCACATATTATGAGGAGGCAAAGTGTTTGCAGAACAGTACTAAGAGAGGGTCTTCTGAGGCTACCTGAGGGATGTGGGGTGCTGGCTAGGATGTGGATGGTAGGGCAAGCAGACAGGTGTTATGAGAGTAGAAAGGGACAAGTACCTGGCAGTAGGTAGAAAAGGAAGCTCACAAAAGCATAATTAGTCCACTATCCCTTGAAACTGACTGGCTACCTGGACTGAGCCAGTTAGTAGATGTAGGTGTCATGCATGGTAGAGGGTACTCCTGAGGACAGTGTCAGTTGTTTCTGCTTTGAGACTATGAGGGCAGACCATCTTCTCAGCTCAGACCAGACATGGAGAATTAGTAGATATTTGGGAGTACAGCTTGCCCTTTTCTCTCACCTGTGCTCAGAATGGTGACCACTACCCTTGCTTGGATGACTTGGAGGGCCTCGTAGCTGTGGGTCGGGACCTCCCTGTGGGGCTGGAGGAACTGAGACAGCTAGAGCTACAGGTACTGACAGCACACTCCTGGAGAGAAAAGGCCTCCAAGACCTTCCTCAAGAAGAACTCCTGCTACACATTATTGGAGGTGAGACCTAGCACTTTTACCTATAACCTCTTATCTGACTGACTGGAGGTAGTTTTTATGAGAATTTGAGTTTTTGAGGGGGCATGGGTGAGGGGAGGAAAGAACACGGGGAGGTAGGGAAGCCTGGTCATTTGCCTCTGTCTGCCTGCCTCAGGTGCTCTGCCCGTGTGCAGACGCCGGCTCAGACAGCACCAAACGCAGCCGGTGGATGGAGAAGGAGCTGGGGTTGTACAAATCTGACACAGAGCTGTTGGGGCTGTCTGCGCAGGACCTCAGGGACCCAGGCTCTGTGGTAAGAAGCTTAGATACAGATGGGTAAAGAGCCTGGTGATGATTGTCTGAACCCTGTGACCATGGGCAGACCACTTACTTCCTGAGCTCAGTTTTCCTGGTTTGGGAGTGGGGTATTGAGTTCAGAGAATGAAAGAATCAGATTGTTTACCTATTCTTCCCCCTTTCCTGGGCACGGCAGATCGTGGCCTTCAAAGAGGGGGAGCAGAAGGAGAAGGAAGGGATCCTGCAGCTTCGTCGTACCAACTCGGCCAAGCCAAGTCCACTGGCATCATTGACAACGGCCTCTTCTACAGCTTCTATCTGCGTGTGTGGGCAAGTGCCAGCAGGGGTGGGAGCTCTGCAGTGTGACCTGTGTCAGGACTGGTTCCATGGGCGCTGTGTGACAGTACCCCGCCTCCTCAGCTCCCAGAGGTCCAGTCTTACCTCATCCCCACTGCTGGCCTGGTGGGAATGGGACACCAAATTCTTGTGCCCTCTGTGTATGCGCTCACGGCGCCCACGCTTGGAAACCATCCTGGCACTGCTGGTAGCCCTACAGAGACTGCCTGTCCGGCTTCCTGAGGGTGAGGCTCTACAGTGCCTCACAGAGAGAGCCATCAGCTGGCAAGGCCGTGCCAGACAGGTTTTGGCCTCTGAGGAAGTGACTGCTCTGTTGGGACGGCTAGCTGAACTCCGCCAACGGCTACAGGCTGAATCCAAGCCTGAGGAGTCTCTGGCTTACTCTTCAGATGGTGGAGAGGGCACTGGCAATATGCCTAAGGTGAGCTTCTTAGCCCAGTTCTTAACTTCAAATTCCTGTCCCACTAGTCTATACGTAGGCTCTAGCTCTGCCCCTGTTTCTCTAGTTTTAAATCTCCATTGGCCCAGCCTTTTTGTTCCATCCTATTATCTGTCCAAATTCCTAAACTCTGCTCTCTGCTGACACCCCATGTTTGCCTTCCTCCAAGAGATAGAGTCTTCCAAGTTTGGAATGGATGGAAGACTAGGGCCTGGCTCTTCAGTTCAGTTACCCCTTGCCTTTTCCTGATCTTGATATTTGATAGGTCCAGGGGCTGTTGGAGAATGGGGACAGTGTGACCAGTCCTGAAAAGGTAGCCACAGAGGAGGGCTCAGGTAAGAGAGGTAGGTCTAGCTGTAGTGTGAGTGGGATGTTGAATGGATATTATCAATGTGGCCCCTGATGTCCTCAGCTCTGTTATAGTGGTGTAGGATAAGACCAAGGGCAGCCTCTAATCAGCCTGTCCCTGCATCTTCCAGATCTGGAGCTGCTATCCTCGCTATTACCACAGTTGTCTGGCCCTGTGTTGGAACTGCCTGAGGCAACCCGAGCCCCACTGGAGGAACTTATGATGGAAGGGGACCTGCTTGAGGTGACCCTAGATGAGAATCATAGCATCTGGCAGCTGCTGCAGGCTGGGCAGCCTCCAGACTTGAAGAGGGTCCAGACACTTCTGGAGGTAAGGAGAGGAGTCATTATTGACATGGCCGAGTTAGGCCAAGTAGGCAGAGAGCTCTCAGGCCCTGACTACTTGCCTGTACTTGTCTTTTGGGAGAGGGAGGATCTTGTTATATAGTCAGGCTTGCCTTAGAATTCATGGTAGTCTTCCTGCTTTAGCCTTGAAATTGCTAGAATTACAGTCATGCCCCACCAGACCCCACTTACAACCCATCTTTTTGCCTTCCGGGCTCACAGCTGGAGAAGGCAGAGCGCCATGGGAGTCGGACACGAGGCCGAGCCCTAGAGAGGAGACGGCGGAGGAAGGTGGATCGGGGTGGGGAGCCCGATGACCCAGCACGAGAGGAGCTAGAGCCAAAGAGGGTACGGAGCTCAGGACCAGAAGCGGAGGAAGTCCAGGAGGAAGAGGAGCTGGAGGAGGAGACTGGGGGTGAGGTCCCTCCTGTACCCTTCCCCAACAGTGGCAGCCCCAGCACCCAGGAGGACCAGGATGGCTTAGAACCAGTGTTAGAGGCTGGTTCAGACACCTCAGCCCCTTTCTCTACTCTGACTTCCCGGCTGTTGATGTCCTGCCCACAGCAGCCATCTCTGCAACAATTGTGACAGTGGCTGAGCCTAGCACAGACCCCAACAAAGATCCTTTCTTGGCCTCAAGGATCCTTTCTGACCATCAAGCCTGCTTCTTGGAGGTGGGCGGATAGGTGGAGAGACTCCCCCCTCACCACCATCCCCAAGACCATGACTTTTATATTCTGACTCCAAGGTATTGTTCAGACCTCAGCTCCTGGGGGCCGGCCCCTGGAGTCCTGCGTCCCTGGTAACCTCTAACCAGCATTCCCAGACACCAGAGGCAGATAGACAGGTGGGCAGGGGATCTACTGGGGCTGGGCCAGCACCATTCCAGAGACAAATCCAGGGCACATGCAAACTGGGGGACCTCTCCCTTATCCCCAGTTCTGACCCTGGGTCAGGCCATGCTACACTAACCTTCCCTCCCCACCTCACACTTTTGCCTCCCCCTCCATTTTACTTCTTTCCTCTCCCCTTCATCTTTTCCCTTCCCCTTACTGTTCCACCCAGGAGGAGGAAACTTCACATAGCTGTCCTTACCTTTTTATTTTAAATGAATTTTGTTGGGGTTGAGCAGGGCTGCCTATGGTCTGAAGGCTTTTGGTGCTTGTCCACACACCCACCTCAACCCTTCCTGCCCGTCTTCCCCTATCTCCTTTCCTCCTCCTGGGTTCATGCTGTAATAAAGAAGATTGTTGGTGTGTAATTAATTTGTTCAAAAGGAGAAAAAAAGCAAAACAAGAAACTTTGTTTCAACTAAAGCCTATTTTAATTTTATTTTATTATTTTCCTCATTAGAAATAAAACCCTTAGGAATGTTTTTTTGGAAACATGTTTCTGAAGTGCATTTCTCTTCAAAAAGAGAACAGAACCTTCCTCGCCTGTTAATGGAGCAGCTACAGTGCCAGTTAGTGGTAGTGCCAGGGCCAGGGAAGCAGGGCTCTGAATTTGAATCTTACCAGCTTCTCTCTAACCTTGGAAAAGATATCCTGTTCCTCCCCCAAGCCATTTCCCTGTCTTCAGACTGGTGGACACTGGTCCCCTTTGATAATTTGCACAACAGCTTCCCCTAGCTTTGTGCTCTTGATTTTCTGTTCTCTGGGGGACTTTTTCTTCATGGCTTTATTGAGGTAGAGTTTCCATACTATAAAGTTCAGCTGTTTTAAATATGTAATTTGATGAGTCAGACCGTCCTTGATGTTTCTCCATTAGTTCTTTCTGCCCCTAATGAATGTGTGGTTAATTTGTAATTTCTGTGTCACTGTTAAACTGCTCTATTGAGATAAAATTTGAATAGCATACAGTTCATCCTCTTAAAGTATACAATTCAGTGACTTTTAGAATATTTTAGTCATTGAATGAGTCATCACTGCAAAAAATTTTAGAATGTTTTTACAACCCTCAGAAGAAACCCCACATTGCCTAGGTATTCCCTCCTTACTCCCATTTGTCTCTTCTGGACATTTTATATAAATGAAATTATACAATATGTGGTCCTTTTGTGTCTGGCTTCTTTGACTTGGCATAGTAGCTTCAAGCCTATTAATAGTCCTACAGTAGTTATATCTTCACCCTTCTGAGCCTGAAAGATGAAGGGGGACTATACTTGATCAGGGGCTGACCTCCTAAAATATGTTTATACACTTTTTTTGTGGTTACCTATATGTATTTTTCTTAGATTAAAACCCACCAGATTGCAATCATATTTATAAAGGAACCATAACCGTCTAAAGACTAAGAAACATTCTTATGGTTCTGAGAGTTCTGTGTCCGGAGATAGAGGAGCTAGAGGAGGAAACAAAAGCTTGGAGGCCCTGCTTCACTAGCTAACTTCCAGGCATCCCTGGCTTCTCCAAGGTTTTTCCTCTTCTCAAGGTTGTAGAAGGTGTTACAGGCTAAAGTCAAATCTTGATCCCTAGCTCAGGAACTCAGCACACCAGCACTCTTACTTTGCCCTTCCTCATTTATATGTTCAGAAGGATTATTTTGCTCCATTTCTCTCCTTTCCCAGGATTTCCAATTGCTAGAAATCTAGTGATATATTTCACCCTCGTTGGGTGGCTTTCAAGGGTGGGAGCATGGCTTAGACCTACCTGCCTTATGCAGTCTTTTAGTCTATGTTGAAAGGTAAACACCAGTAAACAGTGAATATCCCTACCCTTGGTCCATTTTGGTACTAAGTTTCAATCAAGGGTCAGGCCTTTGCCCAGCCATTGGAATTAATCATGGCTTCCAATGAGAGTTGGAGGTAGCAGAAGAGACAGCCATAGGAGCTTAATCTTGACATTTTACTACCACTCTACTCCAAGAAGCTAGGCACAGGAAGAAGTGGGCAAAGGAAAGGTAAAGATGATGCCTATAACCTACAACTCCTAGGCTAGTGAACTGCTCAGGCCAAGGTAGGGGTCCTTTGTGGTATGGGCCTGTCCCTTGACCAATTTTCAGACAGCCTTTCTCAGCTTGACATTTCCCGGCTGTATCCCTTATACACTTTGTGCTCCTTTCACAGTGTACATGTAGCCATTATTGATGCAAAACTGTCTTAATTAGGTTTCTGTTGCTGTGAGAAAACACCACGACCAAAAACAACTTGGGGAAGAAAGGGTTTATTTCATCTTACAGCTTGTAGTCCATCAAGGGAAGGAGGCAGGACCCTGGAGGCAGGAGCTGATTCAAGGGCCATGGAAGAGTGCTGCTTACTGGCTGCTCAACCTGCATATTGCACCCAGGACCACCAGCCCAGGGATGGCACAGTCCACAGTGAGCTAGGTCTTGCAATATCAGTCATTAATCAAGAAAATGCACCCTGGGTTTGCCCAAAGGCCAATCTGAAGGGGGGCATTTTCTCAATTGAGTTTTCCCTCTTCCTCTAAGAGAGCACCAAATGAGTGGGCAAGTTTTACCTCAGAGTCATTTAGTTTACAGATACCATCCTGCTGCTACATCCTAATAGACAGTTCCACTCCTGTCAGGATAGCATCTGAGTATGCAGGGGTGGAAAGAGATACTGCTTCTATTAAGGACAAATCTCTCTTCTTCCTCCCCCATTCCCCATTCTCCTCTCTTATTGAGACAGAGTTTGTATCCCTGGCTGGCCTGGAACTCAGTATATAGACCAGGCTAGCCCCAAACTCACAGGGATCTGCCTGCCTCTGCCTCCTGAGTGCTTGGATTAAAGATGTGCCACCACATCCAGCATCTAAATTCCTCTCTTGGCATTTCTTCCTGTCTCTAGCTTTTCAGTGCCTCCAGTGTGCCTTAAATTATGTCCAAAACACTAGGTTTAATGAGTCTTTCCCCCACCTACCTGAAAGTATCTATTCAGAGGGTTCCTGGAGGAGACAAACAAGAGCCAGGTCTGAGTCCTCTGCTACTTCAAGGCTGGAGGTTGGGAGGTGGAAATCTTGTATGGTCAGTTCAGAAAGAGGCAGATCAAGCAGCATTTACAACCCCTACACTACATGTGAATTCTGTTCCTTATACATTGTATGAAGTCTGCTGGTCCAGGGTGGCACTCTGGAAGTCATTTGGGTCTGGACCATGATCACCAGAGCCCTGAAGGAGAAACAGAAACCATCTGTCATCCTAGAAGACCTGAAATTAGGTGTGTGTTTAAGTCCTGGGTGCCACACTCCATGTAAGATACTTGGCAAAGTAAGCACGTAAGGAATGGGTCCCTAAGATAATATGCTGGGCCCAGCCAAAACTTGACAGGGCTGTGATTGCCATTTTCGATGCAGAAATACTCAAAGCCCTGTTTATATCAGAAGGGGTATAAGTAATTGAGATGCCACCAGGCTGTTAAGAATGGAACTTTTAGTAGACTGGGATATCAGCAATGCTGGCTAGGTAGATAGCTCATATTGCAATTGTTCTGTAGAATCATTCCCATGGCTGGCTGTGTTAGGTATGTATGTATGTATGTATGTATATAAGACAGTAACATGGCTGGTACATACCTCTAAAACCAAACCTATGGAGGTAAGAGGAGGAAGATTGCAAATTTGAAGTTGTAGAGTAGGACCCTGTCTTAAACAAAAGCCAAAACTTCATAAAGCAACATTTAGCTGCCTTCAAGGTCACTCACAGGCATCAGTCAAGGTGTCAGCTAGCACAGCTGTCATCTTCAGGCTTATTGGGTCAGGATGTACTTAGAAGTTCTGTAGCTAGCTGTTTGCAGGATTCAGTTTCTTACTGGCTGTTGAACAGGTTCAGTCAGTTTCGTGAATGTGGGTGGATCTTTTCACAGGGCAGCTGGCTTACAATATGGCTGCTTGCTTCATGAGATCAAGATGGGCAAGAGACAAATTACTATAATCTTAGAAATGACATTCCATTGTTTTTGCAATTGACAATATTCATAGAAGTCATTAGGAGGGAGAAAAGGGGAAAGGTCTAGACCATATTCAGAAGGGAGGAATTAAGAGGATAGGGTTCATTGGGGGGTCCTTTTGGAGATTGACCTCTATGGTTTACTCTTTGATAATTTAATCATTCATGTCCCTTCCACGTACAAAATATATTCACTCCTTACGTTCTCTTAAGTCACATCTCATTATAGCATAATCTCAAAGGTGCTAAATATGAGTGAATTGCCTTGGGCATAATCCCTACATATGGCTCAAGTACTGTTTTTCTCTATGGATGGAACTGTGAAACTTAAAGACACAAATTATCCATCCATATCACTTCCGAATATACAATGGTGGGAAGGCATGTACAGACATTCCAGTTCAAAAAGGGCAAAAGATGTGTGTGTGTGCCTGTGGCAATTGGAAACAGGAGCTACTGATCTGTTACAAGTTAAATCCAGCTGGGCAAATGAAGTTCCTTGAATTGATTCCAAGACCGAGGACGAGTTTTCATACTCCTGTCTCTGCTTTCTGGGCTCTTGCTGTCACCTTCTGTGCTTTTCATGAGAGGTAGCACACATGTTTGCAACCAAGATTTTTTCCTTCTACTGTTTCCTGCCAGGATTTTGGAGGACCAGTAATGTCTTGCAATGCATGTGTAATCAGTTACCATCAAGGTTTAGACTTCTTTTTGGCATGTTGAGCATTCATCAGTAAACTAGAATGAGATTGGCCTTCAGAGCAACCCTGACTTAGAGCCATCATGGCCACTTTGTCCAGAAGCCTGTTGGCAAAGATAAAGGTGACAGACAGGATAGAGATTAGCTACACCCATAGAATGGAATATCTCTTTGGAGATCTCCCATAATGGTGCTTGTTTATATGGGTTGTAAAAAATTTCACACTGCACTCATTTCAAGATGGACAGCTATTTGCATAGGCCCTTTTCCTCAGCTATCTCTTCAACATTTCAGTCTTTTTATTTCCAAATTCTTGACTGTATGCAGACATGAATCAGCAAGCTGTCTATGCTTTTGACTGTTAATGTGATAGTAATTTTAATCAACCCAAAGTGGAGCTGTAACTCTGAAACTAGCCACTTGTAGCAGATGCCAGCATGTCGTGCAGAACATCTGTAAGCCAAGCTTGAATATTGTATCCCTTAGTTGCCTGGTCTCAAGGAACCCCCCCCCCCCATGGGGTCTCAGATGATTAAAAAAAAAATGACAATGTAGCAAGTGTGAGTTTTCGGACCTGCACATAATTTAGCAGACCGGATGGAACAGTTAACCAAAATTACTATTTGATGCCATGCGCTCAGATGTTCATTCAAAAAACTAAGTCCACTTTTCTATTTTCATTTTTCTTGGCTTCTGAGATCTTGCTACTTGCAGTTTTACCCCCCCCCCCATTTTTGTTTGTTTTGTCTTATAAATATGTTGTATCTTAGGCCAATGACATAGCCCAGTGGGTAAAAGCACTTGCTACACAAGCCTGGTGGCCTGAATTCAATCCCAGGGATCCACGTGGTGAGAGAGAATCAACTCATGCAAGTTGTCCCGATCTCTATGTGTGTGTGCGCACACATAAATAGATGTAATAAAAATAATTTTTAAAATGTTGTATCTCTTTATTTTCTGTTAATTCCCAGAGGAGAAATGAGTCTTCCTCCCCAACCAGGGCCCTTCTTTATGTCATGTATATTGTGTATATGTACATCATGTATCCAAAAACTGGAAAAAAAATCTCCTGGACCAATAAAATGACTCAGGACAAAACTTCATGTATAATATAATTCCACTCTAACTGGTGGACCATAATGATAGTATAGGCCAGCAGAGATTAGCACTTACCCAGAATCAATACTCGTGTATTTCAAGATACGGGTATTTTTTTCTGCCACCAAAACAGAGGTAAAGGAAGGGAGGGAAATTTTGACCATATACACTTAAAAAACAGTGGGAAGTTTTACTTTAAAGGGGTCCTTTCCCTTCGTTGAAAGGGTTTCTGTGAACTGAAGGAGAGGCTGGGACTCTACACTTTGGTACCTAGACAGGCCTTCCTTAGCAATGCTAGACTTTCTTATATAATGAGTATGTCTTTTTTTGTTTGTTTTGAGACACGGTTTCTCTGTGTAGTCCTAGCTGTCCGGGAACTCATTCTGTAGACCTCTAACTCAGAGATCTAGTTTCCATCAGTTTTGGTACTAGGGAAACCATACTAAAATAATCATTACAGACTTACGCAGGTAAATTAAAAAAAAAAACACTCTGGTTACTGCCATGATTCTGTTATCCATTATATAGAACCCAAACTCAACCTATATTTTCCACTGAAATCACTGTAGCCTTTGTCATCTACACTCTAGTCAATCAAAGGTGGAAATGACCAAGCAAGAGGTTTTTAGAATACTAAAAAGGGAGTCAGACACTGGGCATACTCAATTGCAAGGAACACTGTAAAAATACCTGAGTTTATCCTCAGGAAGGAGAGGAATAAGGCTACCAGGCTACTCACTACCAGGCCAGTCTCAACTATACTTTGTAATGTACTTTTCAGAGTTCTTATGAAAGGAGTGTTAATACAGTGAATTGAGTGGCTTATTATGGCTAATCATCTCTAAGATTCTGTTGCCTTAAACATATTTTTTGTCTACGTTGCCCCACAGACATTCTGGCAACATAACTTCACTTTGCAAACTTGTTACAGTTGGACAGTTGTAGTCTGTCATGTGAGTGCTGGGAACTGAATCCAGGTCCTCTGCAAGAGCAGTAAGTGCTCATGGCCACTGAGATATCTCTCCAACCCACCCTTTATTTTATTTTTTGGGGTTTGTTTGTTTGTTTGTTTTTCGAGACAGGGTTTCTCTGTGTAGCTCTGGCTGTCCTGGAACTCACTCTGTAGACCAGGCTGGCCTTGAACTTAGAAATCCACCTGCCTCCGCCTCTCAAGTGCTGGGATTAAAAGTGTGCGCCACCACTGCCCAGCCCCTCTCTTTTTTTTTTAAAACAACTGATTGAATATAATTAGTGCTTCCTGGATGTGCATGGGTATGGGGTCAATTACTGGAGCCTGGTCAACCTACAGGTGGCCGTACCCCTAAAGGAAAAATGACTCTTCATCCCCTAGTAGGGCTCTTTTCTTCTTTTATACTGTGTGTATCATATATGTTTAAATAATGTATCCAGCAACTGGAAAAATCTTCTGGGCCAATAAAATGACTCATGTAACAAACTATTGTTGAGCCTGAGTTTTGGATAGCCAATAAAACAACTTTTAGAAATAGCTCGGGGTGTGGTGGCACACACCTTTCATCTCAACACTCTGGAATCAGAGGTGGGTGAATCTTGGAGTTCAAGGCCAGCCATATCTACATAGTAAGTTCCAGGACACCCAGATACATAGTGAGACTCTGTCTCAAAAAACAAAACCATAGCTGCTTCAACTAATAAAGTATATTTAGTATGATTGCTAATGTCTATCCATATTGAAGTGGTATCACAAAAACAAAGATATCACAAGGAAAGATGATCACAGAACATTTTTAATGAATATAAACAAACTCTTCAGCCAATCCAGCTGCAAATTTAAAATGTACAACCATAACAAGTAAGAGTCACTCTAGGAATGCAATAGTGATTCATCATAAGAAGATGACATTACTAGAACAAAAGGGAAAAACCTGAGCATCTCAGTTCATACAGAAAATGCTTTTCAGATGTAATGTTGATAACAAAAAGTTGCAGAATGCAACAGCAATACCTACAAATCAGTTTTTACACATTAATGATTCAAAATGAAAAAGCAATTCCATTTACAGCAGCATCCAAAAGAATAAAATACTTAATTATCGAGAAGTTTACATTGAAAAAATGTTAAGGGGTGGAGAGATGGCTCAGTGGGTAAAAGCACTGGCTGCTCTTCCAGTGGACTTCCATACCCACATCGTGGCTTACAGCAGTAACTCCAGTTCTAGGGAATCTCACCTCCAAAGGCATCTGGTATGCTTGTGGTATACAGATATACATGCAAGCAAAACATTCATAAAATACAAAACTCTTTATAAACATTATTTAAAAGTTGCTGAAATAAAAGGCTTAAAGAAATAGATACTCATATTCATGGATTGGAAGACAATGTTAAGATAAATACTAGCCAAAGTAAGCCACAAATTGAGTGCACTCCTTTTGAAAATTCAGACAGAAATTTTACATTGTAAAATTTTACATTGTACATTGTAGCTGTCTTCAGACACACCAGAAGAGAGCATCAGATCATATTATGGATAGTTGTGAGCCACCATGTGGTTGCTGGGAGTTGAACTCAGGACCTTTGGAAGGGAAGTCAGTGCTCTTAACCGTTGAGCCATTCTCCAGACCTCAGTCAGCTTTTAAAAAAAATTGTTCTATTTACATTCCAAATGTTGTTCCCCTACTTCCCTGTCCGCCCTCCAAGAGTTCTTCATGCCATCCTCCCTCCCCTTCGCCTCTGAGAGGATGCTCTTCCCTCACGATCCCCACCCTCCCCGAATTTTCCCTGTCTAAAAGAAATACAGGGAAAATGGAGCAAAAAGTGAAGGAAAGGCCATCCAGTGACCAGCCCAACTTGGTATCCATCCCATGGACAGGCACCAAAGCCTGACACTATATTAGTGATGCTATCTTGTTTTTGCAGACAGGAGCCCAGCATGGCTGTCCTCTGAGAGGCTCTACCAGCAGCTGACTGAGACAGATGCAGGTCTTCTATGGAAGAGTTAGGGGAAGGATTGAAGGGGCTGGTAACCCCAACAGTATTTTTTTTTTTTTTTAGAAATAGAAAAGCTGGGCTGGTGAGATGGCTCAGCGGTTAAGAGCACTGACTGCTCTTCTAGAGGTCATGAGTTCAAATCCCAGCAACCACATGGTGGCTCACAACCATCTGTAATGAGATCTGATGCCCTCATATGGGTGTCTGAAGACAGCGACAGTGTACTTACATATAATAAATAAATAAATCTTTAAAAAAAAAAGAAAAGAAATAGAAAAGCTAGTCCTCAAAATCATGTTGACTTACCAATACAATAAACAGCCCAAATAATCTTGAAAAAAGAGCAAATGATGTTGGAAATTGAACTCATCTAAATTCTCCCAGCCAACCAGTTAGTTTCTAACAAGGGTAACCCTATACAGTAAGGAGAGAACAGTCACCCTCACATACAATTCTTTGACAACTGAATTTCCACATACAAAGAATGAAATTAGATCTTCTACCTTTCATCATATACCATTTACTCCATATGGATCAATTATGCACATTTAAGAGATAAAGCCAAAAATCTCTTTAAGAGGAAATGTAGCTGGTCATGACTTTAAATTCAACAATGGATTCTTTTTGCTTGTTTTTGTGTTATACGTTCTCACTATATAGCCCCGACTAGTCTGGTACTTACTATGTAGCCTAGAATGGCCTCAAACTCATGGAGATCTGTCTAGGAGTGTCTGCCTCCCAAGTTTGGGATTAAAGGCATGTAACACTGTACCCAGCCAGCAATGGATTCTAAAACATAACATCAAAAGCATGAGCAACATCAGATGCATTGTGCTTTATCAGCATTTGGTTCTGTATCAAAGGACATTGTAAAAGAAATAAAAAGGCAGCCTATAGAGCAGTGTGTGTGTGTGTGTGTGTGTGTATTTATGTATGTATGTATGATTTAAAAATTTTACTTTTAATTCTGTATCTGTGCATGGAGATGTGCACACAAGTGCAGGTGCCCTTGGAGGCCAGAAGAGACCCTCTGGTCCCCCTGGAGCAGGAGTCACATGCAATTATGAACCACCCAATAATGGGTGCTGGGGACTGAACTTCAGTTCTCCAGAAGAGCACCATGTGGGGACTCTTAACGGCTGAGCCAGCCCCTCAAATATGTTTTTTCAATTTTTATTTATTTAATGTATGAGTCCTCTATATGCATGTACAGAAGAGGACATCATTGTAGATGGTTGTGAGCCACCATGTGGTTTCTGGGAATTGAACTCAGAACCTCTGGAAGAGTTGACAGTGCTCTTAACTGCCAAGCCATCTCTCCGACCTCCAAATATGTTTTAAATTCATATATCTGGTAAGAATTTACTGTTTCAACTATAAAAAGAATTTATCAGCAAAAGACACTACAATTTAAAAATGGACAAAACACGTGGGCATGGCAGCATATGACTAATCCTAGTACTCAGGAAGAAGCAATAAGATCTCCAGTTAGAAGCCAGCCTTGTTTATATAGGGAAAAAGTAAGGCCATGTGGTACACACCTTTATTCCCAGCATTCAGGAGGCAGAGGCAAGTAGAGCTCTGTGACTTTGAGGCCAGCCTGGTCTACATAGCAAGTTCTAGACCAGGAAGGGCTACATGGTGAGACACTGTCTCAAAAAGAAATCAAAAATAAGTAAAAGCAAAACTAAGAAAGGAGATGGGAGCTAGAGAGATTCGTTCGTGGTTGAGAGCACTTGCTGCCCCTGCACAGGACCTGGGTTTAATTGCTAGCATCTACATGATGGCTCACCATCTGTAGTTCCAGTTCCAGGCAATCTGATGCACTCTTCTGACCTTCACTGGCACCCAGTATACACATGAAGCACATATAAA